AGGGAGGAGAGAGAGAGAGAAAGGAGAAAGAGGGAAGAAGCTATGGAAATGATGAAAGAGGCCCCTCTGAGACTTGGGTGGGAACTTCTTTAACCAGTGAGCAGACAAATCGGTTATGAGGGCCCAGGAGAACTCTTGGGGAATTCTGTGGGGTGAAGAGTGGTGGGAGCAGGAGCCTTCGGCACAGTTGCTGATGTTGCTGCCACAGGAATCAACACCTGAATTAAAGCCTTGGATGGGAGACCCCCTGGACTGGTGTGTGTGTGTGTGTGTCAGAAAGTTAAGTTGGAACAAAGTTCTTGGAATCTTTTCCTTTCCCAGTTGGAAGTGGAAGAGGTGTTACAAGTGGCCATAATGGATGTTGCTCCTCTCGAGACTTCTTTAATAAACCTTAATCATTAGAAGCCAGAATATGACTCTGGAATGATTACATCAAGGGAAGAGCAAAGGAGAAACTCATGTATTTCTTCACACCTTCACTAAATGATAAATTCAGATCTTTCCTCTTTCCTAATTAAACTGGAATGCAAACTCCTCAGAGAGCTACCACATTCCCCCCTTTTCTACCTCTTCCTTGAGAAAATGGAGTATGTCATAACTTAAATATTCACTCAGTGATTTTTCCAATTCACAGAGTTCTGTGGGTACTGTACAATATATTAAGATACAAGAAGAGTACCAGAGTAAAAGGTAAGAAGAAACCATATCAAACCAGCAGCACTGGAAAATAAGTTGTAGCATAGAAAACCAAATTAGAACTAGGAGCAATAGGAGAATGCAAAGAATTAAAAGATCTGAGATTGGTATTGGTATTACTACCCCCCAAATCCATAACAAATTTTATGATGAGACTCTGCAAGAGGGCATCCCATAGGGGGTGGGCCACCACCGATAAGATCCTCCTCCCCATAGCCACCCCCCTGACTTAATTCAGCAGGGAACCTGAAATATGGCCTTAGATGATCCCTTTAGGGGTTGGGATGGTAAACACAGCAGTAGATAATGACTGACATTATCCAGCCCCAAGCTGTGTCTTTCCTTGCAGTAATATAGTGCCCAAGTTGCCACTTTGGATTCTCTTAATCACATGGTATGCTTAGGATTTATTATGGAGAGATTTTGGGAGAGGGTCTTCTGTCCCTTCTTCACATAAAGAATTATAATGCTCAGATTTATAGTTCCTCTTATCTCTAAGGTAGCTGTGTATTTAAGTTAAAATGCATGCTCTCAAACCCCTGAAGCCTAATTTTTATTTCCTTGTTTGCTCAATACCTTACAACCTGTAGTCTTCTCTAGATGAAGTCTCTTCATGAAGGTAGAGTTGCATTCAATAAAGGTAGCACTGAGGGTGTCCTTTACTGGTCCAGTAGAGGGTGCCAGGCAATTGCTGAAATTTCTGAAAGTACAGCTACAGTTTTCTCTGAGTGTCAAAAAGAAGGAGAAGGGGGAAATGAAATGTATACAAAATGCTTGGCGACCCTTTTTGGGTGAGGAGGAGTTTGAAACCTCACCCTTCCCCCAAAAAGCTTTTTGCAAACTGCATCTGGATCCATCTAAGAAGCCAACCTGGGCCAGCAATGGCCATGAGACTTTGGGGATTTAATAAAAGAATGTACTTTTTGGAACTACCCCAAGAACTGGGTGCACAGTCTGAAGAAGATGAATTATCAGAGCAAGCTAGCTTTCTGTTGTTTGTTTTATTTCTTAGTTTTTTTTAGTGGTCTGTCTTGGAGACTACATGGCCGTTTTATTTCTTAGTTTTTTTTAGTGGTCTAATAAGGGTATCATCTGCTTCTGTATTTGAACTGTCTTGGAGACTACATGGCTTTTTTCTGATTTTTCTCTGGTTTCCTTAGTGTTTGATCTCCTCTGCTCAAGAAGACATGTTTTTGCCACCTAGCGAAGTCACAATTGTGATGGCAGTGTTTGTGCTGCCAGCTTCTATCTGTGCAACTTGACGGTCACTAATGTTATATACAGCATTTCCTTTAGGTTAAACTGTTGTGAATGTACAGAGAAATAAGTAGAGCATGCCTTCATGAACATGCTTATGTTGTGAGCGCAGAAGGATACAATAACATCCAAGATGGTTGTGGGACAGAAAGAAGCAAGCTTGCTTGTCTGCAGGATCCAGGAGAACATCAACATTCATCCAAGATGGTTGTGGGACAGAAAGAAGTAAGCTTGCTTGTCTGAAAAAGCCTGAAGGTATCTATATGTCTGCAGGATCCGGGAGAACATCAACATGGCAGAAACCCAGGGTCCGTAAGAAACGTTGGCTATGGGCCCTTCCTGATACTATTTCTAGCCACCACTGCATAGACACAGGGCTCAGGGTTGCTGTTAAGACTGGCTGCCTTTTTGGTCCTCAGGGAGTTCAGATTCAAAACAGCATAAGAGACTTCACTGGGATCTTCTCCAGCTTCAGCTTCTTGGGGCTACAGAGGTTGAGGGAGAAGAGAGAGAAAGGGAGAGGTGTTTAGAATGAACTCTCTCACTGTTCCCTCCAGTGGTATTAAGAACTCCTACATCAGTCATTCCCAAGCTGGTGAGCTTTAAAAAGTAGCACCTTTCATGCTGGTTAGAAGCCAGCATGCAAGACACCCATAGAAATGAAAAGTGTGTCACCTTCGGGTTAGAGAAATATGTGGCTGACATTTGATTCCCTGAAAGGTGGCACGCGGCTAGAATTTTGTGAAGCAGCACTGTATTCATTACTTTGTTTTATCAGTCTTTAAATCCCTATCTTGACTTCTAGCTCATTTCTAGATCCTGCATTAATGCCATATTGTTACCTTCTAAATCCTCTAGTGTCTTTCCCCTTCTAATCTTCTTGCTCATGAATCACACAACAGATCCTGCCCAGTGACTTTTACAAATCCATTTAAAGGCTTCATACTCAATGAACTGGTCTGGTCCTTTTCCTTTGCTGTCCTCTATGCGAGAACAATTTCGCACAATACCTCTGCGTGACAACAACTCCCTTCAAATCGCTTTACGTAAGAGTCCTTTGGAACTACTAGTCTATCCCATCTCTCTAAACTAAGCCAAAGTACTTGTAATGGCAATAAACTACCTACTGATAGGTTTAAAGATCCAAATTTGTGGATTAAGTATTGATGGAACAGCAATCATCATGAATCTGGTTATTTATCCAAAGAAAAGCATCTTACCGCATTCACTGGTTGATTTCTATCATTTGCTGTTGAGCCTGTAGACCAAAGAGACCTTGTGAGAGTCTTTACAAAGTCAACATCAAATTAACAAGATATAGCACATTTCTATTCCTAGGGCCCCTGTGTAGAAGACATCTTGCTCCATATTGCCTACCCTGCACCAAAGGAATTGGCAGGAATCCTGTTGGCATTGCACTGCTCTTCTAAGGCTGATGATGTCCTCAGGTATCACCTTTAATCTTTGATAAAAATTAAAAGTGACAGCTATCCTCACCCACCCAGGTCCTGCTGCTCCCTATGGAATCCTTTTATAAGCTAGTGTAGTCTTTGGGGGCACAAGGATTGGGGGTAGGGAGTCTTCAATGTCCAAAAATCATTTCCACCACTCCTGGTCCCATATGGAACTCTGCCACTGGCCTGTATTTCTGTACAGAAATTAAGTGATTTTGTGTATGCATTATTTCATAGATTTCTGTGAGAAGGAAGTAGGTGATGGCCCCTTATTTTCTAGGAACATCTGCCTTGGTAGAAGAAAGGCCAGCATCAGTCCGAACAGGTAAAGGGCACTTTAGGAAACCCAAAAACATCCTTCTCTCTTTATCTCCTCCTCCCCATGCAAAGACATGTATCTTTTTCATTCTCAGCTAAGTTCCACTCAGTCACCTCCCACACATTTAAGCTTTTCATTGCAACTAGAAGGGTTAGACGCCTGTTTGTTTCTTTAAGAAAAGGCTGATCTTTGTCCCATACGATGCAAATAGGATCTGGGACCACCTGTTTGCATCAGGTCTTTTCCCTATGAAACCACTAATATGTGGACCAATTATGTGGCCTTTAATCTCAGCTGCTATAAAACAACTCATCAAGCATCCCACTTACCTTTTCTCCTTTTTCTGTATAATATGAAGAGAAAAAGCAGGAGGAGAACAACAAGAAGGGAACCTGCAGCAATGCCTGCCCACATGGTTGTGGAGAATCTGTCTGAAAATCATAGTCATCTTGAATCAGAGTGGCATTAATTAATAAAGTCTATTGTCACAGAAACACCAATTAAGGTTGAAGGGATGGTTCAAATCCACATATCTTTTCATCTGCTTCACCTCACCATCCATCTTTCACCAGAGGGAAAAAACACGAAGCCGGGCCTTCTCGGCAGTGGCTCCTCACCTTTGGAACAGCCTTCCTCCGGGGAGTCGCGAGGCCCCTACGCTGGGTACTTTCAAATGCCAGCTGAAAACATGGATGTACATCCAGGCCTTCCCTCCTGTCAACTACTGATTTCTTTGCTTTGTTATTTATTATTTATTTATTCCTGCATTATTTGTTATTGTTGTATGCTAATGTTTCTATGTTTTTTAATTGTTTTGATATTCAGTAAGCCGCCCAGAGTGGTAGAATATACCAGATGGGTGGGATATAAATCGAATCAATCAATCAATCAACCAACCAACCAACCAACCAACCAATCCCCGGGGCCATTCTAAGACCCAGCCATCCCCAGATCACACCCCAGAGGTATTCTCCCCTTTCCCCCTATATTGTGGCAGATCGTCCTGACTCATTATTGCTCCGGTTCATGCCCATCTCTCCTCCCAACCTCTGCCTCCACAGCCAGATCCCTAATTCACTGAGCAGTCCAGCCAGCTTCCATGACAACAAGGGTGAAGAAGTAGGTGAAGATAGTCTTCTTCTCTTTCATAATCTTCCAATTCTGTTTTGTGGAATCTATTGCTCAGGTGCTATATGTAGCCCCTGACATTTTTTGAAATATTTCGGAAGATATTATGAGTTTGGGAAGCTGACAGGAAAGAAGAAACAGACAATATGAAAGGGGGAAAACCAAACACATGCACGGAGCCAAAAGGGAGAGACCAGTGGAAAGAAGGAGAAACTCTATGTCTGCAATCAGTGGACTGGTTCCAAACTGTAGACTATTTTTTTATTGTGTATTGACTTGGTTATGATATCCATTGCATTTTAACTTCCCCAGTCCAAGTCTGCTTCCTTCTCTGCACACATTGAAGGTCTGTCTGATGCCAGGATTTATCCATTGCATTTTAACTTCCCCAGTCCAAATCTGCTTCCTTCTCTGCACCCATTGAAGGTCTCTCTGATGCCAGGATTTCAAAGAGACTACCTTTATTAGTGTCTGTACTTTGAACTTTCAAAGCTGATAGTTACTTGTCTTAGTAAATGTCTGTCTCTCCACTGAAAGCCACCCTTTTTCTCTTTGTCTTTCAGATACTTCTAGGATTAATATCTGGCTCTCCGACCGATCAGTCTATTTGACTGGCAATGTTTGGAACAAATAAGATACCACCTTGTGTGAAAAAAGATTATTTTCTGGAGAAGAAATATTTAGCCACTGGCTATGCGAGTAACAGTAAGAGAAAGGGAAAAGGTGGACTAAACTTTATCCTTCTATGGACAAAAAAGCAGCAGAACAGACAATGCAAGAGGGTAACACAACAGGAGATCAGTCTATTTGACTGGCAATGTTTGGAACAAATAAGATACCACCTTGTGTGAAAAAAGATTATTTTCTGGAGAAGAAATATTTAGCCACTGGCTATGCGAGTAACAGTAAGAGAAAGGGAAAAGGTGGACTAAACTTTATCCTTCTATGGACAAAAAAGCAGCAGAACAGACAATGCAAGAGGGTAACACAACAGGATAGCTTATGCGAGTAACAGTAAGAGAAAGGGAAAATGTAGACTAAGTGTGTGGTAGGAAGTGAATAACTTTATCCTTCTATGGACAAAAAGGCAGCAGAACAGACAATACAAGAGGGTAACACAACAGGGAACTGTAGCTGACCATCCTTTCGTCTGCTATTCTTTGGAGGCACAGCATCACTTGTGCAAAATGGTTGCACATTTCTCTGCTTCTAACAAGGGGAGGGATGGAATTGAACGGAGGAACTGGAGAGAAAGAGAGAGATGGTGAGGAAAGGGAAAGTACATGTAGATGGAGCGACATACAAAGGGAAAAGAGGGGGGCAAAGGGAGAACTAAGAGGGCGATTAGACAAGGAAATGGCTCACATTTTGAATCACTTGTAGCACAGTCTGGTGTGATCTATTTCCTGGTGACAACAGGATGTAAGAGCAAAAGCTGTCAAGCCTCACCTGGATCTATGACCAAGCTGGACCTTTTTTTGGGCTATTACTGTATTTGTTGGGGCGGGGTCAGGCTGAAGGAAGATTACTTTAAGGAAGATCACTTCCAGCAAAACTGGTCACACACTTCCCTGTGTGAGCAATCATGATCCTTTCTCACCATCTGATTGTATACTAAGCAAACCGGCATTGCTGCAAAGTGAAAATCCATGGCCACTTTCGATTCTAGCCACCATGCCCACCTTTGTGTTTTCCCTCGTCAACGGAAGTGCAGAGCCGAAAACAGATCATGAAATGACTGATCAGGGGTGGAGAGCAGGAAAGATTCTGCACATCTCTTCCAAACAATTGCTTTATGCCTTGATTATACTTGGAAGTTGGTAACTGGGAAAAAAATCAGATCAAATACTTTACCTTTCACAACCAGATTCATAGGCACAGATGGCTCAGACCACACAAAGGGGTTTCCTTTCCCATGATATTGGCAAGTGTAGCTCCCAGCATCTTCAAGCCTAACCATGAGGATGGAGAAAGTTGTTGCGTTGCTGTCTGGCTTTGCTTTCTGTGAGGCTACCAAATCCACTGATTTGTACAGGAAGAAGGTCAGACCATTTTCTGGCCCCTGACAATGGACTGTGATGTTTGTACCCAGACCATGGGGTCCCTTTGGTTCCATCTCGATGACGGGATTCCCAAGACTAGGATCTAGAGGTGGGGAAAGAATAGTTTGAGATGCCAAAAGTCACAAAACTTTGGATCTGACCTGAGGGGCTGGACACACACACACACACACACACACAGAGAGGTGGCAAGAAAAGAGAAAGTACACACAGATACCCAAAGGAAAAAGAGAGAGGTGGGCACAAAGAGAGAACTGAGGCTATGATTGCACAGTGAGAGAAATGTGAATTAACTCACCTTCTCTCACTGCAAAGTCATATTACTGGGGTACAGTCTAGTATGTTCTATTTCTTGGGAATCACCAGACGTATGAGCACCAACAGTACAGCCCAAACCCCATCCAGGCTCAAGCTGGACCTTTTGGATCTAGGGCTACTCTTTTGGGTAGTGCTGTCTATGTTGGTTTGGGCAAGTTGTGAGAATGGCTGAAGGTTGGATTCCAAAAGATCTCCTGTATGAGAATTAGTGGTCTCTCTCTGCCCCAGAGAGAGACCACAGCTGGAATACAAGGACATCTGCAAGCGGGATCTGAAGGCCTTAGGAATGGACTTCAACAGATGTGAAACCTTGACGTCTGAGCATTCAGCCTGGAGGCAGCCGTTGCATCGTGGCCTCTCCCAATTTGAAGAGACACTTGTTCAGCAGGCTGAGGCAAAGAGGCAGTCCTGAAACCAGGGTGCTAGACAGGGGACAGATTGTATTTGTCCTCACTGTGGAAGGGATTGTCACTTTTGAATTGGCCTCCTCAGCCACACCAGATTTTTTTCCAATACAGTACCTCTATTCAGAGCATGTGACCATAGTCTCTTGATACTAAAGGATGCCTACACTCTTTTGGGAGGCCAGGCTAGTGCAATTTCTGCAAGAAGGAAGGATTGCTGTAAAGAAGCTCAATCCCAGCAAAGTTGATCACACACTTTCCTGCTTGATACTCCTGATCCTTTCTTGTCTGATTGCACCCTAAGTAAACCTGCATTCCTGACCACTTTACACTCTAGCTGCCACATCCACATTTGGCTCTTGTGTCATTAACACTAGTAGAGAACTCACAATAGTTCATGTAACTCTTGACAAAGGGATAAAAGGTTTCTGCACTTCTATTCCAGACTCTTGCCTTATGAACAAAGAGTCAGACTTGGACATTGGTCTAAATGGAAAAACATCTGATCAAGCTCTTTACCTTTCACAGCCAGCTTTGTAGTTTTGCTTGGCTTGGACCACACAAAGGGGTTTCCTTTGCCCTGATATTGGCAAGTGTAGTTCCCAGCATTTTCTGGCTTAACTGCGACGATGGAGAAGGTAGTCGTGTTGCTGTCTGGCTTTGCTATCTGTGAGGCTGCCAAGTCCATTGACTTGTAGAGGAAGAAGGCCAGGCCCTTTTCTGGCCCCTGACAATGGATTGTGATGTTCGCACCCAGAACATGTTGTCCCTTCAGTTCCATCTGGATGAGGGGTTTGGCAAGATGGGGATCTAGAGGTGGGAAAAGAACAAAATGAAATGCCAACAGTCACATAACGTTGCTATCTGACCACCTGTCCTGCTGATGCCAACTATGGATCAAGTTTTTATACATTGTATTCTTGAAGGCTTTCACGGTTAGGATCCAATGGTTGTTGTGGGTTTTCTGGGCTGTTTGGCCATGGACTTAATGTTTTTCTTCCTAATGTTTCACCAGTCTCTGTGGTCGGCATCTTCAGAGGACAGAAGTCAGAACTCTGCCTGTGCTGTGTTGCAGGTTGTTGTATATTTGAGTATTTATAGCTGTGGGATCAGCTTTTGTCCTTTTCAGGAGATTGGGTAATTATGGTGATCAGCATGTTTTTGTTGTGGGTGTATTGTTGTGATAAAGGGGAGAGATGATCTGTCACTGTGATTGATGGGTGTCGTTAGCTAGTCTTTTGTGTGTTGTGATCACTGGTCCTTGTGGCTGGGTAGAGTTCATTGCCCTTTTGTACGCTGTATTTTTCAGTGCTGGGAGCCAGGCTTGTTGAGTTTTAGACTTTTTTCTTTTTTGTTGAAGCTCTGCTAGTGTTTGTGGATTTCAACAGTTTCCCTGTGCAGTCTAACATAATAATTGCTGGTGTTGTCCAGTACTTCAGTATTTTGAAATAGAATTTTATGTCCAGTTTGTTTTAGGGCATGTTCAGCTATTGCTGATTTTTCTGGTTCTTTTAGTCTACAGTGTCTCTCATGTTCTTTGATTCTGGTGTGGATGCTGTGTAAGTACTGATCTTTTTAATACATTATTCACAGCAACTAATGCAATTTGTCATGATGTGTAGCTGTTGTCCAGTTTAGCTTCTCTTGTACATAAATGCAGTACTAGCAGTGAAGAATATAGGGCGAAGCCTGGTCCTTATCATTTCCCTTGCTGAAGTTGCAATACTATATGTCATTATATCAAAGGTCATTAAATAATTGTGCCAAGCTGTCTGGGAAAACAGTGCCTTAACCTTTTCCCACCAAATACATGGCATCCTACATCACCATCTGCTCCCAGGTACAATCACTTTGAATTTTCTTGTAAACTCTTGCTTCTGCAGCCTATGCATCTGATTCCTCTGACACAATACGAGTAGAGACCTAGATGATGGTGTTCCTCTTCTCAACTGTAATTCCATGAGATCAGTCATGATTCTTCCTTGCTGTCTGATTGCACTCTAAGTAAACTGGCATTGTTGCAGTGTTAAAATCCCTGACAACTTTTCTCTTTAGCCACCACACCCACATTTAGCTCTTGACTCATCAACACCAGAGCAGAGCCCACAACAGACTGTGTAATGACTGACCAGGGGTTCTGCCCATGTATGCCAAACAATTGCCTTACAAACAAAGGCTCAGACTTGGAAGTTGATAACTGGAAAAATATCACAAGGAGCTCTTTACCTTTCACAACCAGCTTCGTAGTCTCACTTGGCTCAGACAACACAAAGGGGTTTCCTTTCCTTTTGTATTGGCAAGTGTAGTTCCCGGCATCTTCTTGCCTAACCATGAGGATGGAAAAGCAAGTCCTGTTCTGGTTTTGCTTTGCTATCTGTGAGGCTATGAAGTCCTTCGATTTGTAGAGGAGGAAGGTCAGACCCTTTTCTGGCCCCTGACAATGGATGGTGACATTCGCACCCAGAACATGGGGTCCCTTCTGTTTCATCAGGATGAGGGGTTTGGTGAGAATCGGATCTAGAGGTGGGAAAAGAACAGAATGAAATGCCAAAAGTCAGCTACATTTGCTATCTGACTACCTAATTTTGCTGGATCCAGCTACAGATGGTTTCTATCTCATTTTATTTGATTTGGAATGTATAGTTTCTAAATGTTGCTTATGATATCCAAATGTGATAACAGGTATAGCAGAGACTCCTTAAACTGTATGTGTATTTTTAGTCCAATTAATATTTGTGATACTGAACAATGAAAATCTTTTGGAGAATATGTTCTAAAAACAGCACAATCAGATTCTCACCGGTTACATGGAGTGACACTCGGTCACTGGCCTGCGAGTATCGGTCAGCCAAGCTTGAACTGTCTCTATATTCACACCAGTAGATCCCTCCATCTGATAAAATCACACTAGAAATGGAAAACACAACTGCTTCCCGGTCTGTCCATTTGACTTGTGTTGGTTCAGGGCTCCCTTCTTTCAAGAGATAATACTCTGCCAGTCCGTATCCTGTGCTCTTACACTGGATAGTAACATCTGCACCCAAAGGAACTCCCTCCTTTGGATTCATTGAGATGATAGGTTTAGGATAAACTATTTCTGTAGGAGAAATAAAAAGAGAGAGATTTCAACAGCAGCCTCCCTGGGACAGTCTGCCTCTGTACATTAGCATGCCTTGTCACTCTCTGGGTGGGACGCCCATGACCATGCTTGGATCAACAGGGAGGGGCACAGCGGGCTGGCACCTTGCCCTAAAGGATCCGGGTGGGTCTGCCCTTGTTCCAGTCTGCCGGGGTACAGGATCCTGATACTGTACCTTGAAAAGAAGGGTAAGTAGGTCGCGCTGTGTGACATGTTTCAATTAACATATTTCACACAACACACACACACACACACACACTGATAGACACACACACACACACACACACACACACACACATAAGGACTGATGTTTATATCACACAATTTCTTAAAAGGACAACATATTAAAATAAGATGATGACTTAGATGGTATTGAATTAAAACCGACGTTAAGTGTAAACTTCATAAGAGCTCACGAAGGCTTTCACGGCCGGGATCTAATGGTTGTTGTGGGTTTTTCGGGCTCTTTGGCTGTGTTCTGAAGGACACACACACACATAAGGACTGATGTTTATATCACACAATTTCTTAAAAGGACAACATATTAAAATAAGATGATGACTTAGATGGTATTGAATTAAAACCGACGTTAAGTGTAAACTTCATAAGAGCTCACGAAGGCTTTCACGGCCGGGATCTAATGGTTGTTGTGGGTTTTTCGGGCTCTTTGGCTGTGTTCTGAAGGTTGCAATTTGGAGTCACAGTGAAGAAAAATTGGAAGAATTTCTCAACCATCTCAACAACATCCACCCAAATATACAATTCACCATGGAAAAAGAAATAGAGGGCCAACTCCCATTCTTAGATGTTATGGTCCTACACAAAACTGACTTCCGACTGGGACACAAGGTCTACAGAAAACCCACGCACACAGACCGGTACCAACACAAAAACTCCAACCACCACCCACAGCAAAAAAGAGGCGTAATCAAAACACTGGTAGACCGTGCAAATCGGAACTGTGATGCTCGGTTTCTCAGCACTGAACTCAACCATCTGAATTGAGCCTTACAGGCAAATGGCTACTCCAAAAATGAAATCACAAGAGCCATCAAACCAAGAAAACAACACCGAACAGAAGAAGAAAAACAGCCACCCACACATAAAGTACATCAAAGGGGTCACGGACCGCATGGAGAAACTTGAAAAAACACAACCTAGAAACAGTATTCAAGCCCACTACAAAAATACAACAAATGTTACGGTCAGCAAAGGACAGAAGGGACCCCCTCACCACTGCAGGACTATTCCAGATACCTTGCAGTTGTGGCCAGGTATATATTGGTGTGAAGGTTCATTTTCTGGGGCTGTCGGTACCTCCAATAAAGGACGAGACGGAGTTAACAAATCAAATGGTTCCGTGTTTATTGCTACATCAACATTGAGGGGAGGGGGGTTCAAAAAGGGATTCAAAGATTCTTGTAACTCCACGCTGGGTTTCAAAGGTGTCCACAAACTGTTTATAAACGGATTAGTGTTCTCCAAGTTCCATGGTCCTGTTAAAGGCTTCACAGCACCAGGAATGGGGTTCAGTTCTTCTTCTTCCAACATAATTAGGGGAAGGGTTTCTTCATCCCCGCGCCAGTCCCCCCAAGACGACCCTTCTCCATCGTCGGCCAGCCAGGGCCCGGGAAACCCCCCAGCTTCTGTAACTCGGCGATATGCCATGCCTTTTTCCTCTCCAACTCACGGGCCACGGCCTCTCGCTCTTCCCTCAGCTTCCGTCTCCACTCTTTGGTCTCCGTCTCTCCCCAATACGAGGGACGAGGCTTGAGACCTAGCTGCCTTCTCTTCTCAGCCTCCTCGTGGGGGACCCGCCCCTGTTCCCACTTGTGGGTCCACGGGTCTTCCATCCAGATCCATTCCCAACCGCCTGGTATCTCTTCCCCCTTATATGCTACCGCCACTTCAATCTCCTCCCCCCCCTTCCCGCCAAAGTTCCCCCAGGTCTAGGGGTAAGGTTTAACTCCTTCAGGACTGACACCAGGTCACTGGTGTCTTTACCCTTTGTTCTTTGTAGGGGGTTCTGAGATTTCTTTACCCCAATCAGGGGTCTCCACTCCCTTCTCTTCCCGACGTGGTGGTGTAGGAGGTGGGGATGTTTGAGTGTGTTGGGCCCTCGACGGGAGCGACGGCACTCCTACCAAGGCCTCCATCTTGGGGGCCTCACAATTGGAACCACAAAACACAGCTGTGATGAGATGGGTTTTTGAGTTAAAATCTTTTAAGGCATATGGGTTTTGTAATTAAGAAATGAGCCAGAGAGGTTCCATCTTGTTTCTTTGTATAAAGTATCTTTGCTATGCTGACAAGTTGTTTTCTAGGCGAGCAGAGAGAATGTTATTCTGAAAGCCTGAGAAAGGACTCTGTGTGATTAGATGGGAATTGTTGTGACTTTATGCGAAACCACTGAAAACCCAAATAACATCTGCTGTGTATGGGAAAGAAGTCATGTGATGCGACAGGACTGTTTGCCTAGTAACGAACTCTGATTGGATGACATCGTGGGAAGGTGCGATGAGCCCTTGCCAGTTACTCTTGAAAAAGGAACTTTTTCTCTATGGACATTGTCTTTCCAAGACCGACCTTTCAGTCATTCGTGACCTACTCTTCAGCCATTTGGGACTCACCCTAATGTCTTTCGAGACGGACTGGTGGCCTACCTGCATGGACTGGTTCCTATGCTTTGCTGGATTACTTTTGGACTTATGGGATAGTGCATGGACTATTTTCTATGGACTGTTACCTATGGAATATTCTTTATGGACTTCTTTTCTTGGGATACTCCATATGGACTATGCTCTTGTAATTTTGTAAGGACTATGGTATATTTACTGGATTTTTCTTTTCTAAGGACTATGGGATATATAATGGATTTTTACTTTTGTTTAGGGATTTTTATTCTACAGGATCACTGAGGACTATAGCCTTTTTATAACCTACTTGGATTATTTTGTTTTTACTAATGA